ATGAAGACTAAGAGGAACATCAAACTGTAATCTTCCTCTTGAAGATGATCACTTGGTGAATGAAACACGTGTCGAGGTGTTAAAAATAATGGTTTGGTTTTGGGACTAAACTCCAGTAATATTTGTTTACGTGTGACAATGTGGGTACGCTAATCTGAAAACCGGCGAGTAGACAAGGTCAATTTAGTCATCTAGTAGGTTACATCCGCGATGCTTGTTTATGAATTTCCAAGGATTCCAAATAATTTAGTTTCCAACCCTTTCCTGAATAGTGCAAAATTTCCGTATCGTTTAGACTCAGGAACTTGTGGTTGCATCCCAAGGAATGGTTTGAAAACGTCGAATCATTTTTACCTAGTCTGAAGTACCTTTCATGTTCAGCAAACCGTTTTGAGACATTTCGGCCACATTGACCCACATAAACACCATTACACTTCAGACACTTGTGCTTATAAACTCCAGATTTCTCCATCTTGGCCACTTTATCTATGGCATTAAAAAAGAAATAAGATAACTTGGCATGTATCTTGAATGCCACTTCCACATTGTTTTTTCTAAAAAATCTGTACGTAAATTTAAGCTTTTGTTTTCTGACTAACTTCTTGATTGAGTCTGCGTTGAAACCAATCAATTTCCCTATCTAGATTGTTAGCAGACACAGGTTACGAGAAGGTTCTATTTAACATTGAATTGTAGGCTGCTAATTTATGACTTTCGAGATGGAAAGAATCACTTTGGATTGTAATAATGTATGTATAGCTCGATTGTCTGGATACAATGAACTCAAACTCATTATGATTTTATTTCATGGTCATGTTTCTCTATCTATGTTTCGAGTGTGAACTGTATTTTTTTTATTAAGATCATTCATTAATGTCATCAATTGGTTCAGCTGTCATGTAGTACCTCGTCTGTTTCAGACGTATTTTGACAAAACTATTTTCCGGGTTTTTGAGCCGTGGTCTGCAGGTTTTTATACCTGACCCTTCGTCTACTACTGCGGTAGACATCATCAAACGCGATGAGGTAACGATCGAAGTGTTCGGGTAGTTCTCAACGCAGAAACCACGAAGATGGTACTTGTCTCCGATTTTATATTCACATATATGGGCGTGGCTTTGTTATTTTTTTCAACAGTTGCCAATGATGAAGACTTAGTACGAAAACATCAGTGTCTACACTGTTAATTATAATTTCAGAATTCAATTTCAGAATATTGTAAGTAGCGTGATAAAAAATTCGAGTATGAGCCTGAATGTGATTGTATAATGATTTCAGTACCTCTACAATTGTTTTACTTCGAATACTAAGATATTTACAAACACTATCAAAGCCGCCAGAAATAATCATTTGCCAAAAAAAACTACTTTTAAATTTTGTAATCTTGAAATGTATTTTTAGTGAAGCTGTTTAGTCTATTGCCGCTGAAAAATGGAATAATTGCGTAGGGTATGTTAAAGATAAAGTAGAAATGAAAATGTTAAGATTAGGCCCTCTATTGGATGATTTGGTTGACAGAAATCTGTTGATAATTCTTTGAGGTTTGGTAAAAAGGGATCAAGTCAAAAATCTCGTTTGTTGAGAAATCGGGATTGAACATTCAAGGTTATGCCATTAATCGCGTTATTGAACCACGAAAACCAAATTTTACTAGTATCTTGTATTCGAATGGTTGAACAAAATGCAATAAAAAATATTGCATCAATGCACCCTCTTACCTGGAATATGAATGACTTAAGCATTTGAACACATTTGGTCGAGAAAAAAAAAAGGTTTACAAGGGCATAAGACTTCAATTGTAAGGCCATTAACGCCAAAGTGTACAAAAACAACGAACTTTATTATTCCTGGAATGTTAATTTGGGTACAACAACTGAATAATTGAAATAATTTGACATTCCTGTTCCACTAATCATCTAACAGAACTTCTTCAAGGTCTGGATCTTGATCAATAGCGTTTTCTGAGGTTGGCAAGTTCAAATAAAATTCATAAAAAACTGGCGGAACCAAACGTAATAAAGCAACCAAATTGTTCTTCTTTTCTGCTGAAATAGGAACCATGGCTTTATACTTCTGTTCGAATGGAATCTGCTTCAAGTTCGCGTTTCTTCCACGTCGTAGAAAGCTCACAGAAATGAATGGATCATGCAAATTCAATGCGGTTTTGTAATTAATTTCTATCTCATCTCTTCTGTATTGGAGCCATTGTACAGAATACCACTTGAATGGCTCCCCAGACATATCCTTTTTTTTAGCAACAAGTAGATTTGTAAGAAGAATTGCAAAATCAAAAATCTCCTCTTGTTTCATTTCGTGAACTGAGAAGGTTTTTTTTCCCAGTTGACCTCACCAGTTGGTACCAGTTGGAACCAGTCATGTAGATGAAAGATCTGGAAGTCAATTTTTTTCTTTCGTTTTTCTATCATGGAGTGATCAACATCGCACTCCATGTGCGTGTGACCTGATATCAGAAAATTGTGGTTGATGCAGTTCAAGTGCGGGAAATCACAAATTGCTTTTAGGAACATTGCAGCAACGTGACTATTTTTATTCTGGCCACCACATGTGTCAGAATGAAATGTAACCTCTTTTATCTCATCGGAAAGTTTGCCTAAATGATAATTTAGACAGGAAGCTATTTCATTTGATCCTCTTCCTGCCGTTGCCTCGTGCCACATGTAGTTGGTTGACTCTCCAGTAGCATTGTCGTGTATGGTTAGGTTATAGGTCCATAACTGCCGCTTGTAGAAAACCACCGAAGAGCCAAGAAACGGGGTTGGCAGGCATTGCTGGAGATCGAAAGAAAAACATTTCTTCGTAGTGTCATTCTTAGCCTCAAACTTATCCACTCTTTTGGAAGCATAAGCTAACGCAGCTTCAAACAGTTCTTATAAATTTCTCTTTCTCATCAAGCGTTCGGCAGAAACAGTCCTTGCACACCTCAACCCTTCTTCCGTTTATTTCAAAAGAATACTGGTACGTCACTTCTCGATTTTTCGCACTTTCCAGTTTCCTATGTCGAATGACTTGCTTTTCCTTGCTAGTTATGAGTCCGGCAATGAAAGGTACTCTTTTATCGTGCGTGCCCAGAGCCCAGTATTCAGTGAACAAAGTCACTGAATACTGCGGATGTCACAATTCAATGCTAGGTAACATTTCTTTCAACACTGTCTCAATGGTCTTAATTTTCTCCCTTCCACTTTCTTTCCGCTAACATTTGTATAACTCTGCCCTGTGTGAAACAACTTCGTTCTTTCATTTCGAATAGATCTTGATCATTTCTTTTTAGGCCTAGCTCTTTCTGCGACATCACGATTATTTCTTTCCTCAGCATGTTCTTGTTCTTCCATATTTCCTTCGACTCCATAATTATTTCATTCACCAGCATCTTCTTATTCTTTAATATTTTTTCCTTCGACATCATGATCATTTTCTCCCTCAGCATTTTTTTGCTCTTCCATATCTTCTTCGTTGATGCGTGATTGTGGAATAACATCATTTATTATTGGGTCTTTAGATGAATTCGTATGTTTGAGTGTGTGACATCTCTATTGTGGAAAATGTAGAAACACCTCCTGTTGAAGCTACATTTTTTCTCTTTTTACATCCCAGCTTTTTCTTGCTGGAATCGTAATAATGACTGCTGTCGGAATAATCCGAATCTGGAGGAGGCTGATAAGTTTCGTCAATATCACTGAAAATTGAAAAGAAAATTCTGAACACCAGGTGGCAAACTTCGTGGTGATGAAGAAGAACTTGAAGAAATTGGGGAGGACGGCACTGTGCAGGACAAAATTAGTTTTATAGGTTATGTCACAAATATTTTTACTAACGTTCTTACCTGGTAAACAACCGACATGATTTAATGATAATTGTAGTAGCTTTTTACCTCGGTTACTCATTTTATTAAACAGCACACAAATTGAAACGGTTTTCTCGATTGTTATAACATGTTCACTCCACAGCACTGTATGAATAACACAGAGGCACGATGATATTTGTACATTAGGTTGATATGACGGGCTCAATAAGACAAAAGCCTGTGAGACCAGAGGCTTGCTTCTCATTCTTTGTTTGGTACAATGGGCGCATGTTGACTGAAGCCCATAATATCAAACATCATTCTACATTTCTGAGTTAATTCCTTATTACCAGAGCAAATTGTGTGGCGCAAAAACTGTCTAGACTCAAGCCGTTTATATCAATCGAGAGAGCATGAAATTTTGACTTATGCTCCACAAAAACCCCAAAACGGTGTATGATTGACTTAAGCCTTTTTTACCAAACTTCAAAGAAATAATCTTAATGATGATTCTTCTAGTAGCAGTTTTTCAGCATTTGAGTAATCGGTCTAAAACGACAAAATGATTTATTATTTTATTATATTTTTATAGGAATGTTCGCTTTCACAACTGGCATCAATATTTTGGTTGGCTTCCGGGTTTTGCTGTGATTTTCTTTGGTTACAATCTTCAAACGTTTCAACGGCAACTGCGGCAGTCATCTCCAGTGGCGTAGTCGAAGTACTTTTCTTGACGTATCAACTATTTTTTTATTTCATACGCTAAAACGTCATTTGGAAATCAAAAAATGTTTATCAATTTGTCCTGCTGAAATAAAATGACCCCATTTTTTTGTAGTTTATTTAAGGTTAAATATACAAAACTGTTTTCTTCATTAGTTAAACTTTGAATACTGTTTCTATATCCAGCATATAAAAAAAATAAAATAAAATTTCGGTCGTGCCTTAGTGGGACTCTGTACAAGCAGCCTTGTCTGGGCGATCACGTGCAATATGCATGATAATGTTTTGAAGCACTCCGTTGCTGGGATGCACAGAATGTAGCCTATTTTTTGAACTTGTCGGAAATGTTGAAATATTTTTAGGAATCTTTCTGAATTTAGTGAGGGTAGTTATCAATAATACCAGAAAACATATGGATATAAATTATATTTATTTGTGAATTAAATGAATGAAAATATATTGAAATATAAGGGAATTACCATAAAAATGTATTTACAGATACTTATTTCCTTAAAATACATTCATCAATGTGTATGTTATACTCCTGGTTTGTTGGTCGTGATCTGCAGGTGTTTATGGCTGACGTGTCCACTGCAGTCGTAAACCAAACGTCAGAAATGAAAACTACAAGAACACTGTCATCAAACCTGGAAAATAATTTAAACGCAGTTATCTCCGACAGTGAAAGTTCACACATTTTGATCATTAATTCAATAATTGACTGAAATGCTTCATTTATTTTCATCAAGTACGGGGTGATTTGTTTCGAGGAATCAACACCCCTCTTCATCGCTATTGTCACCACAATCATTAGAACCATCACATTTCCAGAAAGTGGGGATGCAGCGTTGATTTTTACATAAAAACATGAAACTCTTGCTGCAAGTTTTTCTCTGAAACAAAAATGTCATCATTTATTTCATAATACGTCGCGCATTCATTAACAAATTTCTCATTGTTTTGAATGAGTGATGTGTCTAAGGGTTGGTTTTATGAACATTTGATCAGTCACTTGAAGTAACTGAAGTTAAGCTTTATGAGTCAGGTCTTTATTTCGGAATACATGTTATCTTAGTTATAAGTGTAATAGTGTATAATAATTCGATAAATTATGGAGACCATAGATCAGGAGATTTTATCTTAACTTCTTAATGACGAGGATATTTGCTTGAATGTAATTTTTTTTGATTATGATATCGCACATATTTTAATAGATTGATCTTGGCGTATGAAATATACATATTAAGATTATTTTCAGAAAAAAAAACCTAATATGAACTCAAAAATTCAAATTTTAGAAAGTTATAAGAAGTATTACACCGATATATGTTCATTTTGATTGATAAAACATATCTAGCACTATGAAAGCTGCTATTTCCAACTGTTTCATTGTTTTTACCAAGGCATTGAGGAAAATTATCGACAGTAATACTACAAGAACTCAAAAGTTCATCGATACATTTCCATTTTTCGAAAGAAACTTTGTTGTTCAACAATTACAAGAAAGCAAACAGCATGATAAAATCACGGGTCCGTAGAACGAGTGGTTCATTTATTGCTGGTAGCTCGATTGATATTGCTCAAAAATAACAGATTTTAACTTGGAAACAAATAGAAATATATGTTTGAAATATGTTTATCCGTTAACCAGCTATCGCACCCCTACGAACGACAATCCTCAGTAGTAAAACTTGTGGGCGCAAAGGACTAACGAGGTCTTACCTTCTAACGTGTGATACGTAACATGGAATAACGAGAAATTATTGCTAAAACATTCGTTTTGTATTGTATTGTGTTGTAATTGAAGAAAACAGTGAGCATAACTTCGACATTTGATCAAACTTGGCGTGCTTTTTTGGTCTTGCCTCTCCTGGAGTCTTCCATTGGACCGATTGGACTTTGGTTTCGATGTCATGATCATATACCCATGACTCTTTAAAGCAAATCTGGATCGCCGCTGAAGTTATTCAACAATTCTTGAGCGATGCTCGTGCGACGGTTTCTTTGTTCAAAATTTGGCACAATCACCGTATGCCACTGTCAACCTTCCAAGTGTTTTTCAACACTCAAATCCATTTTTTACACAAAAATTGTGTAAAAATCGTTGTACACGCAAAACACCTTTACCTTTTATGCCTCTCACTAACAAACTAAACACGCTAAACAGCTGAAACTGTGAACATATGTTTGAGACGAGTGTACAACGAGAAAAAGTGAAAAAATTGCTAATCAAATGTACGTAGCCTGCGAAATTTGGACATTCAACTTATTTTTTTAACAGACCTCGTATTATTTGAAACACTAAATAGGTAGAATTCAGTAAGTAAGAACACGTCTGAGGAAGCCATTGTGTACCGAAACATGTGTTGCGGTTTTATAAACTGTTTAGGGAAAATCTCACAACACAGTGTTATTTGAATACGTTATAGATTTTCATAGAGTATCAAACAATTCCACCACACATCCGTTTTACGTTGAGTAGGAAGGTAGTTTTACAGATAGGTCTAAAGTGACTGCAACTGCAACCTTATTTCATGGTTCCTGAGGTATCCACGACTTGCTGAGGAAAGAGGTCTATCACGATAGATCCCCTTATTACTATGAAAAGGCTTTCTTTAACGACCGTTTTTAGGTCGTTTTTAGGTTCCTGATTTTGTTCAATGGCGAGTACCACATCGTCCTCTGATAAGTCGCCCCCTTCTCATACCACTTCATTTGTTTATTCAGTGTACTTATGGTGCACTGTTTGGAACCTTTGGTGTAGTAATGAATATTACTGGAGTTTTATCCCAGCACCAAATCATTATTTTTAATACCTCGACAGGTGTTTCGATCACCAAGTGATCATCTTCAAAGAGGAAGATTAAAACTAGAAACTAACGCCAAGCTAACCCTACTTATGCTAAATAAATATCCCATACAGGTAAACCATCCAGGTGTACCACCCATACAGGTATATCAACCTAAATTAATTTCACAATATTGCCTATCTAAATTTTTTTTGCCATGTGTCCTTAAGTAGTAATCAGTAAACACAACAATATTATTTTAACAAGCTATATAGTTATTCATAATATTATTTTGTTTACTTATTTCTACACTCTCATAGGCATCTAGTTGCCTGTTGTTGTTAACTTGTCTAAGTAATCTTACTGAACTGAAGTCTATGGAATGTTTTTGTTGCAAAATATGATGGGCGGCTGCTGATTTTTCAGGTCTTCCATATTTAAGTGTGCTATGTGTTCCTTATATCTTACTTTAATAGATCTTTTTGTCTGTCCATAATATTTTGCATCGCAGTCCTTACATTCCATTTCGTAAATTCCAGACTTTTCCGAATTCTCGACACAGAAAGGACAAAAACCAAGATAAATACATCTCAGTTCCATACCACCAATATACGCGGAAGGATTTTCAAGGAACTAGATATGGAGGTGGTTTTTAAAACAAGGCATACACTACAGAGCCTTTTGGGAAGTCCAAAAGACAAAGTCGAGAATTCGGAAAAGTCTGGAATTTACGAAATTGAATGTAAGAACTCCGATGCAAAATATTATGGACAGACAAAAAGATCTATTGAAGTAAGATATAAGGAACACATAGCACACTTAAAATATGGAAGGACCATCATATTTTGCAACAAAACCATTCCATAGACTTCAGTTCATTAAGATTAGTTAGATAAGTTAACAACAACAGGCAACTAGATACCTATGAGTGTGGAAATAAGTAAACACCATAATATTATGAATAACGATGACGGACCTATACCAAAGAGCATACTATATAGCTTGTTAAAATAATATTGTTGGGTTTACTGATTACTACATAAAGACACATGGCAAAAATAAATTTAGATAGGCAATATTGTGAAATTAATTTTAATATAGCTGAAAATTGTTTTATATATACAGCTATAACAGTTAAACATATATTGTAAAATAATAGATAAGGAAAAATTGTAAAATTAATTTAGGTTGGTATACCTGTATGGGTGGTACACTTGGATGGTTTACCTGTATGGGATATCTATATAGCATAAATAGGGTTAGCTTCGCGTTAGTTTCTAGTTTTAATCTTCCTCTTTGAAGATGATCACTTGGTGATCGAAACACGCGTCGAGGTGTTAAAAATAACGATTTGGTGTTGGGAAAAAACTCCAGTAATATTTATTCAGTGTAAGTAAATATTCTTTTCGCCATCTTCTACAAAATATATCCGCTAAAGCTTGAGATACTCTCCACTGTTTTCTAAGGTTTACTTCGACTTCCTCAAATTTTTCCAAGTGTGGGGCAGCTCCATTTGAACAGTGCAATAAAAAAGGATTTGGCTTAAGGCTTTCCGGCTCTAAAGGATCATTTGAAATGTATGACAAAGATGTGCTATTTATCATATTCTCCGCCTCCGTAATCAGGGTAATAAGCACTTCTTTGGGATGTCTCTCTTTCAGTGTAACCGACCTCACCAACCTTCTCCCAGCTTCCTCCCATATGTGGAGATGTTGGTGGAATGAATTTCCATGTAATGTTCTTGAAAGAAAAATAACCCAAAATTTCAGTATCGTCCATGTCCTTAACAGCTTCTCTTAATTCTCTATTGGCAGAATGCATGTTCGTACCGTTATCTGAGTCAATTTCTTGACTTGTTATTGTTGACTTATTAATCTTCTCGTCGCCATGATAGCAGAGTCTGTATTCAACGATTTTGCCATTTCTAGATGCCATTTTTCCATGTGTTCAACAGAATAAGAAAGCTTTGAATAACTCATAAAAAGAAAAATGCCAGTTCCTTAATAAATGCTAACCTATTCTGCAGTCTGTCTGTTCTCTCAGAAAAAGGAAAACCCAAGGGAAATCCATATATGATCGATGACGCTTATTTGAAAAGTTGCATCAGCCTTATTGCACTATTAACATTCTAATCTGCAGTTAGTTTAAGATAATTGATTGCAAGATCCGAAAAAGTTCCTAAGTAATCTCATTCTACATTGAAGTGTTAACGTGTTCACACAATGTCTGGAGAAAACGCAATACCTATTTACACATCGGATTCCCGTGGCAATGATGGGACAGGAGACGGTACAGAAGGAAACCCCTTTAAAACAATTCTTCAAGCTATGCGAAAAGCCGGTGCAGAACCTTTTCCTGTAATTTATGTCGATGGCAAAGAAGATGCTCTCAAATATGAACCAGCTGCTAAATCACAGATGAAAAAAATACAGAAAATGTGGGTTCGGGAAAACTATAAGCTGGCTGAGAAATCTAACAAAGAGGAAGAAGATGCTGAAAAGAGAGCAAAAAATTTGGAAGAAGCCAAGAAAATTGTTATTACTAAGGATAAATCCTTGCCAGAGCCAAAACTTATAAGAATATTTGATGGAGAACAATTCAGGGAACAAAAAGTGAAAATCTTTGGACTCATAGGATAAGAAGACAAGGTAAAAACTTGATGTTTGTGACACTTAGAGATGGTACAGGATTCTTGCAATCTGTGTTGAATGATAAACTCTGTCATACTTACGAAACCCTGGTTTTACAAACGGAGTCCTCTATAGTTCTGTATGGAGTACTCAAAAAGCTGCCCGAGGGAAAAAGTGCTCCAGGTGGTCACGTGTTTATTGTTGACTATTGGGAATCGATTGGTTCAGCTCCAGCAGGTGGAGCTGATTCGTTATTGAATGAGCAGGTTCTTCCAGATGTCCAAGCTGAAAATCGGCATATGATAAGAGGAGAGAACACCTCGAAAGTTCTAAGGATGAGATCGGTGCTCTTACAAGCTTTTAGGGAACACTATCTTGATAGGGGTTACTCCACCATCTATAGTTCAAACACAAGTTGAGGGAGGATCCACGCTTTTTAAAATGGATTATTTTGGAGAGGAGGCTTACTTGACACAAAGTTCCCAGCTATATATAGAAACATGTTTAGCATCTATGGGGAATGTATACTGCATCGCTGAAAGTTTTAGAGCAGAGTAGGACTTGGAGACAATTTAGCAGAATGTTGAAGCTGATTGTCCTTTCATTACATTCGACGATCTCCTAAACCGACTGGAGGATTTGATTTGTAGTAGACAGAATTCTCAAATCTCCTTATGGCCACATTGTTCACGAACTGAACACCAACTTCCAAGTTCCTTCCAGACCATTCCTGCGGATGAACTATTCAGGAGCCATCGAGTATTTGAAGGAAAACAACATAACGAAAGAAGATGGAACATTTTACGAGTTTGGAGAGGACATTCCGGAGATGCCCGAGAGGAAAATGACTGATAAAATAAACAAACCCATCATGTTGTGTCGTTTCCCTGCCAATATCAAATCGTTGTAGATGAGCAAATGCCCCGAAGATAACAGGCTCACTGAGAGTGTTGACGTACTACTTCCTAACGTTGGAGAAATTGTCGGCGGATCAATGAGGATATGGGATATGGAAGAGTTGCTGGAAGGTTATAAGAGGAAAAGAATCAACCCTGCTCCCTATGTCTGGTATACTGACCAGAGGAAATACGGAACCTGTCCGCATGGAGGTTACGGTCTAAGTCTGGAACGATTCGTCTGCTGGCTGCTGAACAGATACCATATTAGGGAAGTCTGTCTCTATCTTCGGTATCTCAACCATTGTAAACCGTCATTTTTGTGAGGCGCAGATTCGCCGAGCATTTATTTCTAGATTAATTGCTCGTGCTCATACAGGTAGCGCTTTCCATGTTTCCTGTCAACTGTTACGGAAACCGGCACAAAGTAGTCCATTCCGGTGATAGAAAATGGCCTGACAAAACCTTGAAGACGACACTCCGGTAACTGACCCATTTCAGGTACGTGTGGTTGTATTTTCCTTTTCTTGCAGAAGAAACAAAAACTTTCATATTTTCGGACATCACTTATCATTCTTGAAATCCAAAATTTCTGACGCAGCTCATTCATAATAATTTCCTTCCCTGGTGTTCAACTTTTATATGATAGATTTCAATTAGAAGTTTCGTGAAACGGTGTTTTGGACCAAGAATCGTTGGATGTTTTTGAAAATAGTTCAAACCTTCAGGATGTTCTAGTCTCCCTTTTATTCGCAAAATACTTTTTTTGTCAAGTACTGGCATGAGGGTATATATCCGGCTCGAAGGACTAATGTTCGAACTAGTCAGTCCTACTTAGTCCAGACATTATAGTAAGTTCACCTCGGAATTCGAGATACCCATGCTCTCCGCCCTCTATCTCGAAAACGGTTCACCGTATAAAAAATTTTTTCAAACAAAATTTGTAGAGAATTTTGTATTCTACCATATTGATAATAAATACTAATAGCAAAAAACCCATAGGAAATGAGATATTTCCAAAAAAAGCGCCAAAAACCGATTTTTGTGACCTTTGACCTTGAAATTTAATAGTTGCTTACACCCTACCATATGTATGTTTTGAGACAACTTTGAGGGTGTCAATATACAAGTATTTACAGACTTACAGTAGGGTATCTCGAGTTCCGAGAGTCTTACCTAATTTAAGCTTAAATGACTGGATTATACTGTCAATTCCTTTGATTTAAAGTCGAAATAAACCGGAGATGAAACGTTTCAAATCAAATTATTTTTTTATAACTTTCCAAAATTATTGTCAATGTCAAAATCGTCTTTTTTTATAAACAAACCATGATCAATTATTTCAACATACTAAGTGAACAAAATTAATTCAAAGCAACAACAGTTTCTAAGATATCATTGAAATTTTATATTTGTTTGAAACACATATTGATGCCATTATGTGTGGAATATGTTCAAATGTCCGCCACGGCTTCTCTTGGTGGAGCGCATCTGAAAGGTCCAATTGTCCATGATTCTGGCATATAAATCAGTTTAAATTTGACCGATGGTATGGATTATGTTGGCTTTGAGAACCGCTGTGATTTGTGGCTTATTCGCATTCACCTGCAACTTAAGAAAACACTACGAAAAATCTAACGGGGTCGAATCGCACGATCTCGGTGAGGTTCACATCACCTCCACATGAGACGACCATACCTTCAAATCACTCGTGCAGAATATCTATGAGGCATGAGCGCCGTTTTGTTGAAACTCAGAATAGTGAACAATTACTAATCTGTGGTTGAGGTCAAAAGAAGACCTATAAGTGCTTGCCGTTGACAGTGATGGCCTGGCCAACATCGTTCTCGAAGAAATATGGACCAATGACGACGCCAGCGAAGTTTTCGGCAGATTTTGCGATTCATCGACGTACGGGTGTAAAATGATTGAAGCGCGCGGTACGTTGTCTGGACAGAACACCCATTTTGATGGAACAATTTTATTATTTGCAAGTGTTGCTGAATGCTATATCCGTCCATGGTGACTTGACGAAACAGTTTGTTTGAAGGTGATTGACAATGTTTCATGATGGTTCTCTACGAACAGAAGATCGAAGAGGTTCTTCAAAAGGGACGATACACAAAGATCGTACGGGACCCTACTGCATCAATCGAAAGGAAGTTATACCAGATTTTGAAAAAACACCAAGTCTATTTTTCGGACAAGGAAAGATTATCGCTAATACCGCACCACAGTAAGCCCCCTCACTTGCATGGACTACCCAAAATCCACAAGAAGGACCTTCCTCTTAGACCGATCATAAGCTCCAGGTCACACAGGAAGATCAACAAATTTTTCGACGTGGAAAGCCTCTACACCAACGTTCCGGTCGAAGAAGCACTCCCAATCATACAGAGAAAGCCATCCGAAGACGGGAACCTAAAAGAGAGAACGAATCTACCTATAGAAGTAATCATGGAATTACTAGGATGATGTGCACGAAACTGTTATTTCCAACTTAAGGACGAATTCTTTACACAAAATGAGGGACTGCCAATGGGATCGCCACTTTCACAAGTCATAGCCAACATATATATGGAGTGGTTTGAAACTCTGGCCATTGAAAAAGCCCACAAGAAACCTCGAGTCTGGTTGAAATATGTTGACGTCACCTTCATAATATGGAACCACGGGAATACTGAACTAGACGCCTTCCTGAAACACATCAACAGCGTGAGACCTTCTATCAATTTCACAATGGAGAAGGAAATCTACAACGGATTGCCATTCTTAGACGTTTTGTTAAAGAGGACCGACACTAAGTGGAAAACATCTGTATACCGAAAACCCACTCATACGGGACAGTATATGAACCACGAATCCAACCACCATCAATCGACTAAAAGAGGACTCATCAATACTCTTATCAGACCGTGCTTTTGGGCTCTGTAATACGAAGGAAGGTCTCGAGAAGGAACTAGACATCATCAAAAATGATCTTCAACGGAATGGCTACTTCATATCTATGGTAGAAAAGACTTTGGCTAGAAGACAGCAGTATCCTCGCAAGGAAGAGAAGCCGTCACAACCAGTGCTTGCACTTCCCTACATCAGAGGATTATCGGAGAGGATAAGTTTTTATTTTTATTTTCTTTTTTCATTTCTTTATTCTCATTTATTCAATTGTTCTATTTTTACTTGTATTTTATTTCACTATTATTTCATTTCAGGTTTATTTTGGTTAATATAATTGTTATTTTCAGCTATTCATTTTCAATTCTTCTTTTTCAGTTGTTTCAGGGATTTCAAATCATTTCATATAGTGGACAATGGAAGTCCGAACTAGTGAAATTCTTGACGAAACAGACTAAATAAATAACAACTGATTTGACAGATGAAGCTTCAACAAGATGTCCGGTATCAATTGTCGAAGTTTGAAAGTCTCTGTTGGAAGACTCTATATCTCCATCAATATTGAAAAGTGAACTCACCAAATTCTCCTGGTTGGTTTCGTTTGATTTCGACGTTGAAGTCGTTTTATTCGATCCCTTCGATTTCGACGTTCTTGTTGAACAATTGACTTCATCTTCGCCGTTTGCGCAATTCGGAAAACCGTCACAAATCATACTTTTATGAATACATTGATTTGGAATATTTTGATGAGGCCCACAAGATACTTCCTCTTCGGAACATGTTTCATAGCTGCAATCTACTTCGTCGGAAAAATCACCACAATCATTTTCGAGATCGCATTTAGCAGATAAAGGTATACAGCTTCCGCTTTTACAGGTGAATTGATGGGCTGAAAAATATCAAACGCGAAACCTGATTAGTCTAATCCAGACAATTGGCAGATGGAAATCTATAACAATGAAAGTTTTGAGTAGACCTTCAGAAACGTACCGAAAACTATAACTGCCAAAATACCCAAAACTTCGAAACAAATTTTGACTTTGAAACCATTCTTCCACCCTATAGGCAAAAGTGTTATCTCCCAATTTTGTTTTAACAAAGTTGGGGTCTATGAATACCTCATTAACAATTATTGCTTTTTATTTCCATCCATTACTGCTTTGCTTCATAAAATCGGTTCATTCGTTGAGAGAAGACATGAAGCTTTGAAATGACAATATGTTGTTCTAAACGTGCAAAAGCTGAATTAATTTCGTATAAAAACCTGTGATAATAATTTAAAAAGTTAAAGATTAATTCTCTCTGAAAAATTTGAAGTATTTTTTCGTTCAGCAAGTATCGGGTTTTTACCTAACCGAAAGATTCAGATGGACAAAATCTTTCTTTCCTTTTGACCCTACTAAGTAACTCAGTACAGAGTCAAAATGCTCCTGGTCACCATTTTTTTTCAGGCTATAACCTTGATATTACTCATTCAAAGTTCAAGTCATTTAAATATACAGGGTGGGGCACCCCATACGACACGGCCCCTGTAAACCAAAGCGTTGATTTTTTAGGAAATTTCTCTATAGCATTATATGTATATGTCTATGTCGTTTCGAAGCTACTTTCAAAAAAATGCATCGAAATAAGAACTACTATTTGAAAGAAGGTGTTTTCAGTCGCAGACCCAGGACAGAGATATCAACCTGCCTAGGAACCTATGCGACCATATTTTAAACGGAAATTCACGCTATCGAATTGTGTGCGGAAAGATTGAAAGAATCCAACCTCATACACGAGTCAATAAAAATATTCTCGGGCAGTCAAGCGGCGTTGGAAGCTCTTGGCTCCTACCGAGCAACGTCTAAATTGATAGCAAATTGCCAAACACGACTCCCCTCGATAGGAAGGCTTAACAGATTGTCTCTGGTCTGGATTCCTGGCCATACTGGCCTGGAAGGCAATGAGCCTGCTGACTCCCTTCCAAAGGTGCTGCAAGCAGTTACATCGGACCAGAACCTGTCATTGGCATCGCTTTAGGCTTTGCCAAACAAAGATTGAACATCTGGATGGCAAGAAGATTTATGGACTTCTGGCAGAATCTCCCGGGATTGGCTCACTCCAAGGCGTTTATTCACCCTTTGAAGCTTGATAACAAAGAGTTGTTGGATTATAGTAGGGATGAACTACGATGTCTAACAGGCCTTCTTACAGGTCACTGTCATTTGAATCATCATATGCAGAATCTCACACTGTCGAACGATATTATGTGTCGCCTCTGTTTAAAAAATGATGAAACAGTAGAGCACATTATTTGTGCCTGCCCCGCTGGGGACCGAATCAGGTTTTTAGAGTCCGGCAGAGTCGTACTCTTACCCTCTGACCTGAAAGACTACTCACCATACAAACTAATGAGCTTTTTCAAGAAGCTGGGTTTATTTGGTCGAGTGTGAACAGGTGTGAGCCACAATAAACCATTGCGGGTTTCGGTGGAGGGTCGATATCCTAAAAACCGAGTGGAATCGGCTTAACGCTCGCATACGTTTCCTCATCAACCAATTCACCCTGAAAAGGTGGATGAAGGAGACTAAAAACCTCGACTTCCGAAATGGAACGGCTTTCTGGAAAAAATTCAAAGTCTCTTCTGGACTAAAACGGAAAACCGACAGTCACCTAGTGATTGACGGTAACATCATTTTCAACCCATCCTACAAAGCAGAAGCCTTCCGCGAAAATCGTCTCCCTAAAGACCCTCATTTCGAAAACCCTTTTCTAAACCACATTCACCAGCAAGTGCCTGCACAGCTGGGTAGGCACCCAGGTCACAATTCCCCTTGACGCCAACTGCCCCTTAAGATCCCCATTCAGTGAGGAAGATATCCTCAATACTATCCACAGCGGTAGAAATACCGCTCCTGGCCCAGACTCGGTTAACCGCCCAGTACTGAAAAACCTTCCTGATTCCGCAATTCCTTTCCTCAAACACATCCTTGATGCTTTCTTGTACACGCCCACTTCCCAAACGCCTGGAAACAGGCTAACACAATCTTAATTCCAAAACCCCACAAGGATCTCACTAATTCCGACTCCTACAGACCTATCAGCCTGCTTAGTTGCCTGGGCAAATTGCTGGAACGACCAATGACTAACCATCTGAACGACTTCCTCATACATCACAGCATTATCCCTCCCCACCAGCATGGTTTCAGGACCGAACACTCCACTCAGAACGCACTAGTCGAACTACATACCCACATATCCCAAAACATCAACGCATCTTTTTGCACTATTGCAATCTCTCTAGATATTCAAAAAGCTTTCGACAAGGTCTGGCACGCGGGCCTGACCTGGAAGCTTATCCAAATTCGTCTTCTTCATCATTTCATCCGACTAGGAGCTTCTTACTTCTTACCGAAAAATCCGCGTTAAAGTCGGTGAAGCCTTATCCTCCCCTTTCACTCCAAAAGCCGGAGTCCCCCAGGGCTCAGTCCTTGCTCCCTCCCTATTCTTCATCTATGCTCATGACGTTCCCACAACCCATAAAATCCTCCAATATGCCGACGATACAATCCTTTACTCTTCCGCTCCCAACACCCGTCGCTTGCAAATTCAAGCTCAAAACATGATCGACCATTTCGAGCAGTGGTGCAACAAATGGCGTATCAGAATAAACCCCACTAAAACCCAAACTATCCTATTTAGACACCCTAACATCTACCCGTCCTAAATTAAATCCTGATAACTTGAATCTCAGACTTTTAGGGGAAAACCTCATACTCCAGGACTCGGTGTCCTACTTGGGGGTGACCTTCACGAGGATCCTCAACTGGGAGATCGACCTGAGAGGGACACTGGACAGAGTCCGGAAGACAGCCAACCTGCTAAAGGCTCTGAGAGGCAAGCTCGGGAGATGCGACAGTAAAACTCTCCTTCACACTTATAAAACTTTCATAAGACCAGTCCTAGACTACAAAGCGATGATATACTGTACGCTTCTCCCAAGACTATCCCACCGTATCCTTACAACTGAAAGAAGAATCCTCCGTAACATACATAACCTTCCCTACCGATACCCATCCCTAAACAACCTCACCAATACTACACCTATCAACAAACGATTTCAGGAACTTCAAGGACGATTTGCAACCAGAACGATGAGCAGCAACAACACCAATGCCATCAACTCGCTCACAACACCTTGGACTTCCCGTGGAGGATCCAGAATGATACCCAGGAAAAAGCTCCCCTTTCCCCCAGCCAGACTCCTGGGAGGAATGGAAGACCCACCGGAGCCGATCCAGGATATCCTAAAGGAATTCCCACTGGGAATTAGATAGCGTATATCAGCGTCCTGGAAAGAGCCGAAATCCGAAGTGCTTCACCCCCAACAGCCCCAGCCTAAGAACCCGTACCCAAACAGCACCAACACCACGACCACTGCAACGGACCCGGACCACCCTACGGATCAACGGAACAAACCCGATGAACAAGCGGAACACAAAACAACACAATACAGACACCAACACACAACACACTTACCCTGAAGAGGCATTAGCCTATAACAGGACCCCACACAAACACACCTAAACAAATGAAATGTTATTATTATTTGAAATTTGAATAAACGATTTTGATTGATTGATTGAGCCGCACCCTTTAGACTCCAAAATAATTTTCCTCTGCAACCTTAATCAATATACATATGATGAAATGGAGAAATTCCTGAAAAAATATTGCTTTGGTTTGTAGTAACCGTGTCTTATGGGGTGCCCCACCCTGTATGTTGAACTTACAACTCAAAATTAAATTATTGGAGAAAACCCGTAAGCAAAAGAAGTTGATTTCTTGGCCTTCCACAAACATTTGTCCATCTATAAATATTTCTGAACTCATCATTGGCACATACAAGAACATAAACAAACCTTTCTTACTTACTTCCACAATGTGTAAAATTTTTTGAAGTGCAATTTTTTTCGTCGGATATATCTGGGCAGTCTTTTTCACCGTTACATTTTAAGTTTATGTCAATGCATTTTCCATTATCACATTGAAATTCTTTGTCGGTACATTTATGTTTCGGACATCCCATCTCATCTGTACCATCATTGCAGTCTTTATTATTATCACACCTAAATGAATAATGAAAAATATTAACATATTCATTAATATACTCCCAATGTCTGCTATTACAATGAAAAATAAACTCGGTTAAGTAAAACATTTTTGGGAATCCCTGAAACCATATGTATAGGTATTCAGGGATTCCCGAAACCAAATGTATGGTTTCGGGGATTCCCTATAGTTTCTCACTGTGAAATAAAAATACAAAATTAAAGCATATACTGATGAATGCTCCGTACATGATCACTTTTGTGGTAACAGAGACCGATGAACCAGAGAAGGCCTGATATTGAAATAAATAACCCAGATAGCGAGAAAATCAGTTTGGGGCGATTAAGGGATAACGTCAGATCACCGGTAGGATATTGGTAGGTGTAACAATTTGGTCACTTTGCAACGAAAATATTATTTACCATTTTCTAACTACTTAGAATTTCGTCAAGAAGTGCTGCAAATGCCACTAGGACATAAGAGATAACATTTGGGATCGAAAAAAAACTAAATTTTGCAATATTGAGGATATACGAAATGAAGAAAAACCGAAGTGTTTCAAATTGACAGTCATTTTGAGGAAATAAATGAATGATTTCGATTTGATTTGATCGTCAGATCAAATCAAATCAAATCAAATCATTGGTCTAGAGGACAATGAACACCGAACAGAACACGGACAAGATATATTATATTCTCTTCATATAAGAAGAGAGAAGTCGTTCAGTAGGCATCAGACATTGAAAAACATATTTTGAAATAAATCAATATACTGTTTGGTTACTTGTTAACTAACAGGCACCTTAAAAGGTTCGGTTTTCGCTTGTCATCACATGGGCAGCATACGACTTCAAACCGCTGAAAAACGACATCTAAACTGAGAATTGAAAAATCGGATTTAGAGAGAGAGATTGTTACTGAAACTTGATAACATTTATTTTGAATTCTCACGGTTGTTTTGAATTTAAAACTCGTTTACCAAAAAATAATTTGTAATACAAATATCACCTCACAAAGTTTTAATATCGTTCTCCTTTGACAATCTCTCCCTACCAATTAATTGAGGAGGTTAAGGAATACACCTATCTTCATATTTAGCTCTTCAAGCCTGCACTTCATCAATGCGTAGTTTGAACAATTAAGGGTAGTTAATTCTTCTAGAGACGGTTTTATCTCAAACAAATTTCATTTTTGTGGAAAAAGAAAAAATTATGAACCTATAAAACCGAGTTTGAATTATCGGCTATGTACAAAAAGCTTGGGACCACCCACTTATGGCTCGTAGTTCCAAATAAATTTCTTGAATCAGCTATATCAGTCACCGGAAAGGTTCGCTTGAAGTCTATTTCTTCGAAATATTCTGGTGTTTGACTCAAAGCTTTTCCTGTTGAATCACTTGGCAGCTTTCTCGATGATGAGTCTTTTAGAATTGGGATGATTTTACACCACATTTTTGTAAATGTTGGTGCAGGAGATGACGATAAACGACTACACGGACTAACTTGCAAATTTAGTACAGGTCGATATATTCCTGTAACCATTCTGCTAACGACCTCATAAATCGAGCTTTCAAATCTGCAAAAATTCCAGTAATTCTAGAACCATCCGTTGTGAGTTGTGAAGATAAAAAACGTCCTGATTGTATGTCTTCAATACCTTTGTAATTTGGGATTTCACCTGAATTGACACTGTTGCTAGTTTCCATGTTTCGTATTCCTCCAAATCTCACGGTTCAACTGCAGACGTTGGTGGAAAGGATAAACAACGAAAATATCCAAATATTGGAAGAATAATTAGAGAAAATATCGGGGCTGGAAGGCCGTAGACGAATGTAACTTATAGTACCAAATGTTCCACCTACTTCTGCGCCGGGTATTATCAGTGGTATGTGCATTGACTGCGAAAACAACGACTGGCTGTTTTTGCTGAGACTTCAACATATAACATTCGTATTCGCAGTCCACGGACGTACCACTGATGATGTCTACCGCATTAGCGGACAAAACCGTTGATGTAGATGGTACATGTTGAACTTTGCCTTTGGAATATATATTCATGGAGAAGAATTCTGAATATTTGAGAATGTGGTGATTCACAACTTGCTCCTTAATATTCGATATCATTGATGGTAAAGTAACTGGTTTATACTTTTTTGAAAGATTTTTCAACCCTAAACTCGAACGACCTTCCATTTTTCAGACTTTGCACCAGGAAAAGCAACCGTTGAAAAGTGGTTTGCAAAGTTTAAACGAGGTGAAATGAATGGTCATATATAGTGCATGAATATTTGGGTATGCGAAAGCTTTGTTCAAACTGGGTGCCGAGCGAGCTCACAATCGACCAAAAACAATAACGAATTAATGATACAGTGTTTGAAGCTGTTCCACCATGAAAAACCGTACTTGGACGTCGATATGTGATAATGGTGGAATCTGGCTCAATCGTTTCACACCAGAATCAAAACGATCGTCATCTGAGCGGACCACACGTAGTGAAACGACTCCAAAACTTGCAAAACAGAACAGTCGAATGGCAAGGTTATGGTATCAGAATTTTCGGATGCTCTTGGTATAATATTCATCGAATATCTTGAAAAGGAAAATTCCATCAGCAGCGAATATCACATAACGTTATTGCAGCGTTTACGAAATCACCAAAAAAGACTCCAATTAAAGAAAAAGGAAGTGCTGTTCAACCCAGACAATGCACTGTGTCACAAATCAATGAAAACGATGGCAAAACTGTATAAATTGCTTCCGCATCCACTGTATTCTCCTGATCTAGCCCCAGCTCCTTTTTTTGGTTCTCAGAACTCAAGAGGTCGCTATCTGAACTGCTTTCGTATGAAGATATATCTCATATTTGGACTAGAAATATTTTCATTAACACATATGAAACCTGAATTACAAATATTAAAACTGAATTGAGATAAAAATTTCAATTGCTGGGAAAATATAAAAAACGTGTTAAGAGGAAAAATAAGTTGAAGTTGCTACAACTGAAAAAAAAACAAGAGCTTGAGCTGGCAAACGAAGCAGTGGAGGTCATTTTCAAAATACATAAAAATGAAACTGAAACTGGCTATGACATATTAGAACATCTCCGAACTATTGAGGAAGGATTTGAAAACCCAGGACAGAAGAAGGGAATACAATACAACACAGACGAGGGAACCCAACTCAGAAAAACGAAATGTTTTGAGAAAGCCGGTAAAAATAAACAAAATTCCAATATAGTTATCAATACCCTGGAATCGACAGTCCAAGAAAAATATCGACCTAACCACGATAAAATACCCGTTGAAGTAAAAATGGTAAAGAGATCCATTTTTTATGGCAAAAATCTGTTTGGAAATTATCAGCCAGTGACCCCCCAACTGAGAATGTGGAAACCTGCTGACATACTTTCCTTGCAAAAAGACTTCAGCCCCTTCAATACAAACAAGATGATTCCACTAAATGATCTTCATCTGTTTAAAAATATATTTGACCAAAACAACATTCTCACTATGAGAAGAAGGAGAAATATAGATTCAAGTATGGATAACCTTGAAAATGAAATAGGCACCGATTTTAATGAGATTAAGAGAGAAGGTCAGAATTTTTGTCCAGAAAAATATTCGGAAAATGATGAACTGGAGTTCGTGTTACCTAATCGAGATGAATTTAAAATTCAGGAAAAGGACGGTGTCACGGAGATCAAATTTGTTCGCCATAATGATAACAAAAAATTCAGACAAAACAAAAAGTCAGAAAGGGACAATTCTCTTAAACTTTTCAAAGATGAGGCAAGTGATCATGTTGAATCTCCTGATTATAAAAAAAGTATATTATCTGGAAACGAAGACGATATTGTTGAAGCTTTTAAAAGAAGGGAACGAAAGGGCAGTAGAGTAACCGAGGCTGCCTTGTTCTCATACCTTCACACAAATAATCCATTGGAGAGTTCTGTTCATTCCATGAAAGATATGATGGATCGCAGAAAAAATAAAGACGAAGTAGGTCATTCTTTGATGATTGAAGGAGAAGATGGTACTCCCGTTACTGAAGATTCATTATACTCATACCTGTTTGAACCTAATCCCTTGGAAGAGTTATCAAAGAATGACGAAAAGAAGGAGGGCATTGAAACAGTTCAAAACCACCAAAAAACACATCCTGCTTCCCAGAATCTTGAAGAAATCGATACATTGATTCCACATGAATTTGAGAATGGTTTATTGAAAGATAGTATGAAAAAAATGATGGAAGATAAGGAAACTCATAACAAGTATGATCATATCACTGATGAACCCACCATTGAAAATGTTACTGAAAATACGTCGAGTTTCTTTATTTTTGGTAGAAACTCAAGAGATGAGGTGAAATCAACTGACACCTTGGAAGAAATAAAACACAATAAAATAGATTCTAACCAGAATACGTTAACAATATTCAGAAAATACCGATTAAGAAAGAACAGAAGATGTTTGGAGATCTGATTAGTAATCTGACAGGTTTTTTCTCTAAAATCAACAACCAGATCCAGAATTATGTGAAGCAAATCATTAACTGATTTCAAGACATCAATTTACATTTTTACTTTTGTATTTCTCGCCTAGTAATAGTTCAGTTAGTTGTTAGGGGTTTTTTGTTGTATATTTTATATTGTTTCAATAAATAAGTGATGAAAAATTTGCAGTTTTTCTAGAGATCATATTCATCAATGAAATTTTGAAGTAAGAATAATGGAGACGTTGACAAAGAAAAGGTTATAACAAACATTAATTGCTTGAAAACATTTTCTTCATTATTATATTAATTGCTTTTGTAGTAATTTTTCAAATTCGATGAAAAATAAATAAAATGCAGGGACTCACCTCCACATCATGGGAATACATTTTCTATCATCGCAAAGAAAAGAAGAATCCGGACATGTGGGTACTTCGCAATGATCCTCATCAGAGTTATCCCCACAATCATTAGAGCCATCACATTTCCAAACATTGGGTAAGCAATTATAATTCCGGCACGTAAATTGGCCCTGGTCAGGGCATACACATTTTCCGTCTCTCAATATTAGCCCATTCGGACATAAGCAAGCGAAGTTGTTTTTAGGTAAACTTACGCAAATGTAGGGACACGAGGAATTGCTACATCCGTTATTACGTGTTTGAATACTACTAGAGATAGCTTTTAGGCTCATTATATCCGAAACTTGTTTTAGTACAGTTTCTACATTTTCGAAGAAGGTTTTGTCTGCTTTCGATATGGAACTACTTTTAGAGCTACCCCAGTAGAGACTGTTCTTCAAAATCGCGATCGAAATTGGATATGTTACTGAAGCTACTTTAAAGAAACCATTTCCTTGAAAATCGCTACTACCAATATAGTTTCTTCGAGGATCTACCCAGTAAAGTCTGTTGGTCATATAATCAATTGTTAAACTACTGGGCATTTCTACCTTATCTCTGCCAAATAGTGTCTTCACGTTACTTCCATCTGAGTCAGCTCTGTTGATTGTTGCATTGTCAGCCGACCAATCGCCCCAAAATATATAACCGGCTATGGGGTGTACTACAATACATGTAGGCTTTTTCAAAACTGTAGAGTTCAATATAGTAGTTGGGCTTCTGCTGATGTAGTTTACATTTATTGACTGTATTTCTGTACGGGTACCATCGATAATGAAAAAAAGCGTTTTTGATATCCAATCTAGAGATATTCCTACAACAGCATTCGACCCTCTATAAATCTGTGTTGTCGTGAAATTATTGTGTCCCAAACAAAGTTTTTCTATTTGGCCTATTGTATTATTATAAGTCCAATACACACAGTCAGACGTTATATCGAAGTCCACGGATGAAATGTTCTTCAAAGACTTGATCGGAAATTGTTCTATCATATCAGTTGAAATATTATATCGTGAAATACGATCCCTTTGACCAATAAGAAGAAATTCATTAGCATCGTTTTCTGAACAAGGAACTATGTCAGGCATATACAGACTTTCTAAACCACCACTGCAAAGATCTCCAGCTATTTTTTGATATCCTTTTGTTCTGTTATAAAAATGACCTGGTCTGCAGTTAGCTGGAACCTTATATGGATCATAATACTTCAGTGGATTGGCAAGGATACATCGATGTGGAATGTCAGTTGATATAAACCCATAATCGCTAAAAAAGATTTATTTCATTAATAAGACTACTAGGAAATGATATAGAATTTCTCACTGATCTTAACAAAATAGTTTATAACATTGTCTAGATTATTTATTCTCTGAAGTACCGAGATTGTATTGAGAATATATCCATGTCAAAACTATTGATTTTGATTTTTTCGCCCCTAATTTTGTAGCATTACTGTATTCAAAATAACAAGTGAATTGAACACAGCCCATGTTAGATAGTAAGACAAATTCTTTCAAAAGAGATATACCACATTTTTTTGTAACGAAATGGAGTAGTAGAAAGCCAAAAACTTTATTTCCCAAAAATGATATGGTAAATGTCTCCGAACCGGATATAATGTCAAGTCAGACAATTCCGCTTTCTGCTTCAATAAGTTTGTTGGGGGTTAAAATGAACACCAATATGTCATGGCACAATCATGTCGCTGCAATTGCAAAGACTGCTTCTCAAAAAATTGGAACACTGTTCCGAACCGGAAAACTGTACACACCTCAGCAACTTTTGAAGCTTTATAAAGCGCAGATCAAACCTTCTTTAGAGTATGATTCTCATGTATGGAGCTCTGCCCAAAACATATCCAGAAGTTGCTGGATTCCATCCAGAAACGAGTCATCCGCCTGATTGGAGACGCAAACATCACGTGCAGCCTTGATAGCCTGGAACATCGAAGAAAGATTGGAGATTTGTCTCTCTTCTATAGATACTTTCACGGGATTACCGAAGCCGAAGAACTTGAAGCAATTGAGAGGATTCGTCGGAGTTGTGGGGGGGCTCAGGAAGTTCATACCCAGGCTTGCAAAGCTGGAAGGGGCTCTGACGGATCTTATGCAGACGAAGCGCCTGAAGAATGGCAAAATGCAGTGGACCGCAGTTGCTGAAGACGCCTTAGTGAAGATTAAGGAAGCTATGTCTGAACCGATGGTGTTAGCACGTCCTGAAATGTCATTACCGTTCACAGTGCAGACAGACGCATCATGAATAGAAATGGCGGTTGTGCTATACCAAGAGGTGGGTGGAATAAGAAAAGTGATCAGCCATGCCAGCGCGAAGCTGAAGGGGGCTGAACTCAACTACCATGTCAATGAGCTAGTAAGCGTTTCATTCCAGCAAGAGCAGTACATCAGAAATATGCGACGAAATGTGGCTGCTCATCGTTTTGAGATTCAACTCAGTACACCTCGAACTTCACCGTTCAAGAACTCTTTCATCTGGAGAACTTTGTTTATGTGGAATAAACTTTCTGAGAACGTTTTTTTCAAATGGATTTAATCTCCAGAGATTCAAATCCAATGTGAATCGTTACTTTCGCACAGGCACCGCTCTGAGAGCGCCTTGAGGATTTTCCTGTAGAGCTTGTGTTTTGTCTTTAAAGAAAGGGTATATATAACAAGATCCAAGAGTGTGAAATGTACTATACTGTTTTTTGAGGTTTATAACCTTCCACAGTCAGAAAAAATAAATGTGAATCAATTAAGAATCTGCAGAAATGTAATAAAGGGCAAACTGAAAAGTTACTGCGTAATATAAACTACTGAAAAGTCCAATTAGTCAGTAACTTGTATTCATAAATTTTGCTTACAAACTGAAAAAAAATCAAATGAAAAAAATTAATGTTGTTACTTAGCTTTGCTAAGTAACAACATTACATTAACAACAACAACAACATTATGGTACTTTTCCGCTTTCAAAACCTAAAATTCACTATGAAAATCTCACCCCAAACTGTGATAGTGCTAATTTATTTTGACACAAGTCAAAATAATTAATGAATTCGACAACTTACTGACTTTTTAGTAGTCTATATTACGCAGTAACTTTTCGGGGTGAACTATTCTGTTTGCCACTACACTTTGGTAGATTTTCTTTTGATTTAGCTTTTATTTTTTCAGATTGTGGAAGGTTATAAACCCAAAACAGTATAGAATATTGAGTCCTCCACAAAAAAAGTCTTTTGAAGAATATGTATAGGGTACGTGCCACTAATAGAAACGAGGGAGTTATATGGTAGTTCCTCCCTATCCCCATCCATGAAGAAGGTTCTCATGATTTTTAAGAAATAAGACCTCGAAGTTTCGTCCTCTAGAAATGTCTAGAACAGTCCGAAACATTCGAGAATATTGTCGACCACGTGAATCCTTTTTCGGGGCTACCCGTTGGCAGGTGGACATATAAAGCAAGATCCGTCGAGGGCTTGAACGCCACTTTCTTTTCAGTGAAGGGCAGTTTGTGACCTTAGAATATTCTTTAGTGAAGTGAAGTATAAAAGAATAAAATAATTTTCATATCTCTAAAGATGCTTTTCGCTCGTTTGAACAGGATTCAACTGACGAAGCTAGTGTGTAGCTAAACGCTTCTTTAGTGAAGTCAATTTTGTAGAAAATGCTCCATTGTCATGGACAGTATTATTGATTTTCATCAAGTAGCAGATCATGTATTGATATATTATTGAAAATAAATCAATTAAAAGCAGAGGAGCTCCACTAATACCAGTGTATTATCATTTCTCCACCATCTTCAGACTATGGAGATGTAAAAAGAAAATTGTCGTTCCTAGTAAGAGCGTCGAATAAATATTTGAAGGGTGATTATATCATACAAAATGTATCAAATTGAAAATATTTTTATATATCTTTTTGTTAAAATATGTTTTCCGTTAATCAGATGTCGCCCCTTACGAACGACAACTCTCAAAAGTCAAAACTTGTGCGAGCTAAGGACTAACGAAGTCTCACCTTCTAACGTGTGATTTATAATCGTATAGTTCAAGTAAACGATATAGTGCAACCTAACTTCCACAAGCTCCCCTTTAATGATATAGTTAAGGAGCTAACTAATTTCGTTATTCAATAATCATTTCTGATTATATAAGAATCACAATAACTAAGTTCGCACTGGAGTGCGAACTTAGAGTGGAACACAGCAACCATAGAACTAGTAACGAGACTTGGGGACAAGGGAGATTACGACCTCGTCCTCGAGTCATGTAAATACAAATCTAAGTGATTCCTGAAAAATGACTATAAAGCAGGAGCCGAAACGTGGAAACGATGAAAAGTATAGCCGCGGTTCAACCCCTTTTGTTCTGTTATAAAAATGACCTGGTCTGCAGTTAGCTGGAACCTTATATGGATAGAGATCCATTTTTTATGGCAAAAATCTGTTTGGAAATTATCAGCCAGTGACCCCCCAACTGAGAATGTGGAAACCTGCTGACATACTTTCCTTGTGCTTTGTTTCAATTTCTCCCAAATCAACGTAATGGGATTAAAAACACAAAAATAGGGGGGAACTCTCAGTATGGTGTGTCCATACTTTTCAGCAATACTCTCAAGAGCATACACTTTTTCAAATGTATTTGTCTGTAAAACTTCAAGTAGTTGGTTTTTGGTACAGTAATCTTCAAAATACAAATTGTTATCCTTAAATTTTTATTCGGTACTTTGATGAGCTGTTGCGAATGATAGGAAGCGTTGTCAAGAACTATCACACTATTTGCATCCAAATTTGGGATCCATGTGTTTTCAAACCATTTCTCGAAAATATTAGCTTCCATGTTCTTACGATAGTCAACATTCCAGTCCTCAAGTTTTTTTCCACATAATTTCAAAGAATTCCATCCTGTACTACCTCCGCAATGCACAATGATTAGTCGTCATCCCTTGTGTGCAGGCATGTTAGGCGTACACATTCTCGAATCATCAGTCCACCCTTTCCTGACTTTGTCTTGAGTGTCATACCATGTTTCGTCCAAATAGAAAATTGGCCGTTGTTCTTGTCTATATTTAGTTATTTGTTTCAAGTATTTGTTACGCAATTCCACTATTTTTCTACTTTCCATAACTGCCTGACGTTTGTTTATTATTTCAAATCTAAATCCTAGTTTCTTTATCCAATTCTGAAGAGTTTTGTCACAGCAGCTCACGTTATGGCCGCAAGTTTTCAATTTCTTCCGTAAGATTTCAGTTGTTGGAATCTCATTGCTTTTGTAACAGTCGTATATTATTTTTTCAATGATTTTATTACATGAAAATCTAAACATTTTGGTAATCCTGCATCACATCGCTTCTTGCGTTCATAAGGTTTGTTTTTGACTATTTTACGTACCGTTGAGAAAGGAATTTATATCAAATCTGATGTTGCTTGTGATAGTTTGTTTTCCTCGGATCCAAACTTGAGATGTAGTTTCTTTTATACATTGAAACATGCTCTCTGTGTTTTAATATTCAAATGAATCCAAATCTTATTCACTGGTATCTCTTTTTCGCATTGTTCACTATCTCTATTGGAATCACTACACTGGAAAAAGTCAGCGTTGTTTTCACACTCGTACTATTAGTACTTGTCCAAGGACGCCACATTTTAAACAGGTAACCAAAATTTCAAGTTTTCATAACTGCACCAATATCGAATCGCATCACGATCAGTTCCTGAACTGAACCCGACGGCAATAACCATCACCGCATCCCCGATTTCTATTCGTCCCCGTAACATGACTTCAGATTTATTTGTATGACTCTTCAGCAAATCATATTGGTTTTTTAGGCCTTTGAGAGTGCCAACAACTTTAAGTGTGCATAATATCGTTTACTTCGACTATACATAATATTAATATATGAATATATTGTCAATATATCTGTAAAGTGCATTTCTTACTGCTCAAAACCTTCCCAATTATTTTAACCACCTCAATCGGTTGAATGAGACAGTTCAAATACATTTCTCAAAATCATTCCTCATGAAACTAATGAAGGGTGTTTGGTTGAGGAATTCACTTATATATAGTAACATAAATTTGTAGTTCTCACCATATGAAATCATCGGCATCACAATTACAAGACTGTTTGGAGATATTTCTAACATAAGTCAAACCATGCCGACAGTTAGCGTGAGGAATTTTCCGTTCATAGGTTATTTGTTGACCAAGAATACAAGGTATGTAATACTTATTATCTGTATTCTGCCTGGGAAACCATACTGTGAAGTCGTTCTACAAACAGAATTTTCAATTAAACTTTATATATAACTATATGAAAATTTCTGACGGAGGTTTATTGATTGAAAAATCAATACTTTCAGGAAAAACTGCATAGAACAAAATTTGCTCACAATTAGTCATAAATCCAATCATTCCATTCCTGGTTTTACTTTTAGGTAGAAACTACATATCAATTTTTAATAACATTGGTGTCTTTGGTGCAACTATTTGGGAGAAAGGCTATTTATAGAAATAATCTTCCGACAATTATTTTGCCAACAAAAAAATTTCTCAAAAGGATTGTTGGCCATGATGTGCAAATTTTTATGCCTAACGTTTCGTCTACAATTCATTAATCTGAAAAAAAACACCAAGTCTATTTTTCGGACAAGGAGAGATCATCGCTAACACCGCACCACAGTAAGCCCCCTCACTTGTATGGACTACCCAAAATCCATAAGAAGGACGTTCTGCTCAGACCGATCATCAGCTCCAGAGATTCGGCTACTCAAAACTTGTCTGCATTTTTACTCCCATAATAAAACCAATACAAGAAAAAACGTCGTCCATTGTGATAAATTCAAGGCAATTTGTCGAACTACTACGGGTAATTGAAGTCGCACAGGAAGATCAACTAATAGTTTCGACGTGGAAAACCTTTACACTAACGTTCCGGTCTAAGAAGCACTCCAAATCATACAGAGGAAGCTATCCGAAGACCGGAGTGGTTTGAAACTCTAGCCATTGAAGAAGCCCTCAAGAAACCTCGTGTCTGGTTGAGATACGCTGACGACACATTCATAATATGGAACCATGGGAAAACTGAACTAGACGACTTTCTGAAACACATCAACAGCGTAAGACCTTACACTTTCACAATGGAGAAAGAAATCCACAACGAATTGCCATTCTTAGACGTATTGGTGAGGAGGACCGACACTCAGTGGGAAACATCTGTATACCGAAAACTCACTCACACAGGACATTATCTGAACCACGAATCCAATCACCATCTATCGACTAAAAAAGGAATCATTAAGACTCTATTAGACCGTGCTTTCGGGCTCTGTAATACAACGGAAGGTCTTGAAAAAGAGTTAGACATCATCAAAAATGATCTTCAACGGAATGGCAACTCCAAAGCGATGGTCACAACCAGTGCTTGCACTTCCCTACATCAGAGGATTATCGGAAAGGACAAGAAGAATTGGTTCCAAGTGCAACATCAGAACCTGCTTCAGATCCGGAAACACCATTCGTAGCAGTCTCACGAAAACCAGACCACCAAACGCGGACTGCGATTCCAAGAATTGCATTTACCGGATACCGTGTGAGTGCAGAAAATCCTATATTGGTAAAACTGAGAGGCCTTTGAATGTTCGCATTGCCGAGCACAAGAAACACACAGTTAGAGGAAACAAGCAAATCAGGAATAGCAGTGCATGTTTGAAACCATCAACATAACATTGAGTGGTCCCAAGCTGAGATCATACACAGAGAGAAACATTGGTTTAGGAGAAAATTCAAAGAAGCCGCATACATGTTGTCCAACAACGTATTTAGCCAAGCTACCGAAGAGATACCTATCATCAAGCGAAACGGTCATCTCCCACTAAACCAGTGAAGCGAAAAAAAAGGAAAGCTGTGATAAGTGAAATTACTCGAAGGACCCATAAATAGTCATCTCTCGGAAGACTCAGTCCAGTTAGTTAGGGAAGCTATAGATTACGCTGTAGACGACCCCTCCCGATGTAGAAGGCGCCAACACTCTGTCGAACGAAGCCCCCATGTCCCCCGTTAACAGACGAATAGATTTTTCATAGATTGGTACTGACGTCTGAGGACTTCATACCGCCAATATCCCCTCAGTCATGAACCCATTTGTTCTTCTTCAACAAAAATCAGCTGAAACGGTAAGGGAGCTGGGTTCCAACCTGATTGAAATGAAGACGCTTGGTCGGTCAGTCGAATCAGTTCAGTCATCACCAGATGACGATTGTGGATACTAACAATCAAAACGTCGTGAAGTAACTTGGCTTGGAATCTCTTGCCTTTTTTTCTTAATTTTTTGTTCAATTGTTTTATTTTTATTTGTATTTTATTTCACTATTATTTTATTTCAGGTTTTTTGCTTAATATAATTGTTTTTTCAGCTATTCATTTTTAATTCTTCTTTTTACGTTCTTTCAGGGATTTCAAATCATTTTATATAATATCAGACAAGTCCGAACTAATGACGATAACTCAGGACACTCGCATAGGACATGCCTGACAGTTTCATCTTCCTGTTCACACATCCTGCATAGAGGTGTGTCCACTAGCCCCATATTATGGAGGTGTTTCCTTAGTTAACAGTGGCCAATCAGAAATCCTACTGCATAGATTTTTCCTGGTCATCGCCAAATACTTCTTCGGCGCCAGCTTCCCAGGGTTGATCAAGGTAATCCTGGCAAGATTACATCCTTTGATTCCATCCCATCTCTTTAGGGATTGAGCATGGGTGTGACGTTTGGCTAGTTCCGCAATTGTCGAAGTCATCAGGGCGTAGTGCAACTGCCGCTGTAGCTTGTGGCTTATTCACATTCACCTGCAACTCTAGAAAACCCCACAAAAATTCTAATGGGTTCAAATCGCACGATCTCGGTGACCAGCTCATATCACCTCCAGTGAGATGACCATGACCTGAAATCGCTGGTGCAGAATATCCAATATGACTTGAGCTGTGTGGCATGTAGCACCATTTTTTTGAAACTACATGTCATTATTGTCCAGATCATTTGTAGTGCTCACCGTTGAGTGATGGTCTGGCTAACGTCGTTCTCAGAGAACTATGGACCGATGATGCCGCCAGCCCAAAATCCACACTATACACTGACTTTTTTAGGATGCATTGGACGCTCTTGGATCTTATGTGGATTGGTATTGTCCCAAATTCGACAATTTTGTTTGTTCACGTACCCATTCATCTAAAAATGGGCATCATCGCTGAATATGACTTTTCGATGAAAATTAGGGTCAGTTGTCAACTGACCCAGAACCCATTAGCGTACACACGTAGTTGTCTATGGTCGTTCCTTCGGTTCCTAGGTCAGTTGAATTTTGTACGAGTGCAGACCCAAGTCGCAACGTAAAATTTGCCATGTTTTGGTCTGCGAAATGCCAAGTTCTTGTGAGCGATGCAAAATCGACTGCCTTTAATTGTCCTGAACATTCTCACAGACAGGGGCGATGTTCACAGCAGATCTTGCGTTTCGTCGACGTACGGTTGTTGTTCGATCGTTTACTGTCTTTCTGTCCTTTCGGTAAGACGATTATAGCGACCGTAAAATGAGCGAAGCGCGCAGTACGTTGCCCGTACAGAACACCCATTCTGATAAAACGATTTTATTATTTGCACGTGTTATCGAATACTATATCTGTCCATGATGATTTGGCAAAACATACTGAATAAACGACAACTATTTTGACAGATGCCGCTTCAACAAAATGGCCGTTATCAATTGTGAAAGCTCGGAAATTTCGGTTAGAAGACACTATGAGAGGCGAAGGTCCAAGTGCTCTAGTTGTATAGGTATTGGGCAATTCGTCTACCGCGATCTAAGATGAAACATCAGGCAAAAAACCTGCAGACCTTGTCCAACAAACCCGGAAAATAACTTTGCTACAAGTAGTGTCTCTCAGAAACACATCATTCATTTGTTCTTTTGTACTTATTAAATAAAACCGATATCGAAGAGCACCACTAAATTCCATAAATATAATGACTAAACAGTATACAAGTAGAGTAATTTTATTTTATCACCTGAGAACAAGTTCGGTTGAAAACTATTTCCAAATCGATTTTTACTGTCATCCATTCGTGTTTTCCCGGGAGTGAACCAAACAAAGTGAAAATAGTGCTTTCATCTGTTGCACTCAATAGCTCATACACTTTCATAAAATCATTTTGAAAGATGATTTCTTTCCAATGTTCACCATCATCAGTAGAATACTTGATAACTCTAGTAAGGGCATGATTCTTGAAATCTTCAACTGCAACAAGAATGCCTCCATGGTCTCCTATTCTGTAAAGATGACTACCTTTTAGAGTTTGCCTCCAAGTAAGGCCGGCATCAACGCTAATGTAAACATCACGTTGACCTTCCAAATTATTTCCCATAACACCGGTAGCCAAGATCAGTCCTGGTGCAGTTTCGCTTGAAAAAATGCTCGTTGTTTTTGTATCAGGAGAAAGTTCGTTCAATTTTTGAGTCAAGTGTAGGGAACAATTCTGGGATAACACGCAACCAGTCGAGACTCCACGATGATTGGTCTGAGGAGCTACGATAGAATGCCATGAAACACCGTTATCGAATGTAATGAGACTTCTCAAATTTTCTGAATTCAAAACGTTATCATCTGATTGATGAATTTGCTGGGAAGCTATATAAATACCGCTTATTCCTTGCACTTTGTAGACATCCACAAACGCGTTTTTGGAAACTTTCCTGAAAAAAAAAATTGAAAAATTACTTTGGTCGCATTTACTTTTTTAAATTTTGGGTCTTCACATTTTCGTTTTTTTTTAAATTGTATTTTCACTACACTATACCATGATAGAAGAGATGACAAAGAGAATTCGCTGATTGTAGAAATAAACTGAAGCCCAGCAAAGTAGAAGATTTACAGTTGTTCAAGTTACTTTTTTTTCTATCAACACATAAAATGTCATAAATATTTCGTACTACTTCTTGAACCAAAGAATTTCAATTCCGTACATATAAACTCAACTGTGTAGAATACTATTTCACATTGCCATTCCCGCACTGTTATGTCAAATAAAGAAATACAACAATTTTACATAAAGATCCTGATTGTGTTTATTTTATACTAAGAAAGGAAAATTTTTCAACATTAATTTTTATACTTATTACTTTGCTTTTTCGTACACCGCCTTGTTTTAGGAATAATAGGATCATGAAGATGGGAAGAACTGAACAATTTAAAATGGGTCTCGGCTGTATAAGTGAATATAACAAACACAAAAATGGAGGTTTCTAGAAAATCTACACCTTTAGAAAGCTCAGATCAGACCTTCTTTGGAGTCTTGTTCTCATGTATGGAGCTCCGCCCCAAAGCATACCCTGAAGCTTCTGGATTCCATCCAGAAGAGAGCCATCCGCCTGATTGGAGACGCAAACATCACTTGCAACCTTGAAATTTGGAGATTTTTTCTCTTGTATAGATGCTTTCACAGGGAGTGTTCAAGTGGTTTATCACATTTGATTCCACCAATCCACATATCAGCAATACGCGACGGACTGTGGCTGCTCATCGTTTTGAGGTTCAACTAAGTACACCTTGAACTACACTGTTCAAAAACTCTCTCATTTAGGAAACTGCGTTTGTGTGAAATAAACTTCCTGAGAATGTTTTTCCAAATGGATTTATCTAGCGATTCAAATCCAATGTGAATCGCTACTTTCGCACAGGCACCGCTCCTAGAGCATCTTAAGAATTTTCCTGTAGTGTTTGTGTTATGTGCTTGAAAAAAATGCTTGAAAAATATGATGAACTTCGCTTACCACATCTATCTCAAGATTAATTTTTTATAAATTACAAGAAGGGGAAACGTACAATGCAACGCGTTGCCAAATACTGAAAACTATACAAGTTATTATTCATAATAATAACCACACAATGTTCATAAACATTTCAATTTCGAATGCTCTTTTGAAAAAATTCAAAAGAGCATTGAAACGGAAATATTTGAACGAAATCTAATGTACACCCATTGTCAATAAGAACGGTGGTTCGTAACATTACTAACTTCTTTTTTCTAACCGTTTATAATTATGTCTAATATACTATTGTGTCAATTATATAGTTAGAGTCTATTTCAAAAGAGTGTAGAGTAATAAAATCTCATTAAGTATTCAAAAGCGCTACAGGGTGATCCGTCAATAAATTCTGTCACTTCCCTAGTCCGCATTGCAAAATTATGTCGTTTCATAAAGAGCAGGTAGGTATCACCCTGTTTTAAGGGATTTGTCCATTGTTATCGACGGATAAATACTGAGCCAGAGGCGCGCTAGTGGGATAATTGCCAAAAGAATATGCATTCATAAAAATTATATTAAAGGAAATAAAAATTTAATACAGCAGAACAGTGTTATTAAAAAAATATAAAATGTAACAATAAAATATATACGAACCGAAATCGGGAAATACTCACAAACACACACGAACGAACTTTACGTATTGAAACACTTGTGGGGACTTTAAATCAATTTATTCACAAAAACGACAAGAACTTTACTGGATACGTTATTACAATTTGACACTTGAACAATACTAAAACTGTGAACTTCCCTTAACGTTTAACAACAC